TAAAAGAATTTTTTTCACTCAAATAAAGCAAAGAAATAAATAGTCTGTGTTGGCATAAATGGAGACCATGTGTCATGACAACATGTTGTTTTAATTTTAACTTTTCTAGGAGGCAACCAACTCTTGCATCTCTCTCCAACTCTTTAATTACAGGTCTGGCGGGAGTAGGGGCTAATGATTTGATGTTGACTCAACTTTGAGCATGATAGCGGTAGTGGCTGGCTAGATAGTAATTTGTAAGCTGTACAGCCATTTGAGATGTCATAACAGGAAGCTGGCTGGAGTCAATGAATATTCTCCCAAAAGAAGTATGGGTTTAGTCATTGCTCACTTACATTTTATTCACAGTTACATTGTAATGATGAATGGAATTTTTGTCTCATGCTAGAGAATTCATTTTCTCTACCTCCCAAATATCTGACTGTTGCCCTTTCTCAGGTAATGTCAGGATAAATTTAGCATTCATCACAATTATAATTACTTTTCCCTGTAATTATTTGGGGTTTTTTTTTTTTTTTTGGTCTGTTTTTCCCTTATTTGCACATTCAACATGGCTGGTGTCAGACTAGGTTCATTTCAGCCTCTAACAGCACCTCAAGACATATTTGGTGAGTGTGGTGTAAGCCTTATTAATGTACTTAATTGAGGGGCCACTGAATTTTCAGAGAGGCTTCAAGTTGTGTTTGTGCAGTTTTTCAAAACCTTGCAGTAGAAGTCTTAGTGATTTCATATCATTTTGAAATTAACTGTTGTGTAGTATAACATTGTATAATTCTTGTACTATAGTGGAGAGGTGGAGGCCAAAAATCCTGTGTGGAAATACAGATACGGAAAGAATAATATGGCCTACACTTGCCATAGTAAAGAGAACTGAACTCAGAATGGGCCAGAGTTTTCAATGAAGTAGCTTGTGGTGGTATGGCTTCTGGGCATACCCTAAATGCTGCCTTAACCTACCCAAAGTTAACCCACCCACACTGCCTGGACATATTCATTTTTGGCCAGATTGCTCTGTCCACTAAATTATTTATGTAGAGGTAGCTTTTGGTCTACTTTTTTTTTTTTTCCTCCCCAAACTAAATGCTACAGATGAACAGAGGGGACGTTTATAAAGTATGCTGAGGCAGCTGGGTGATATTGCATTACTATCCTTGGAATACTGAGGAGTGGCTATTTTTAGCTTTCACCTGAGCAAACATGACTCAGTTTGTTGACCTGAATCCATCTAGTCCCTTTTTAAATACACAAAGTCTATTAATCCCTAGAACGACACTGGTTTCTAAGTAAGGCCTTCATTTCACATACCTGTCAGTTGACTTGTAGCTTCCTCAAAGGTTGCAGATAATTTCAACTTCTTCCACTTAAATCTGTTCCCCTACGATTAAATCCCTCACACTTTTAAAAAATGTAATGATGGAAATCAAACCTTTTGATTTTAGACAGTTTTATGATACATGTAGTCATAATTTTGGCTACAATTGAATGAGAACACCTATTATAAGCAACCAGCCATTAGCTATAAGTTTTATTTTTTACTTTACTTTTGTAGGCTTTCTACATAAAGGAACACCTTGGAATTCACTTTTAACTGGAGTAGGAAATTGTCTTGAGCTGTAAATATGGTACCGGGGGAACATTTACTGTCCATCTTTGACTCTCAGAATTTCTGTTTACTTTCTCCAACAATACTTTGCCTTTTGAGCACTACAAGAAAAGTTGAAAATACTGAATTGTCTTCAGGTTTTTAAGTTATGTAAAGGTTTTTGAGTCTAGAGCACTGGTGTATTGACATGAAGGAAAATATTTGTGGTTCTCATAGTATAGTTTGAGATGCATTTGAGTTTCTCCAAGTTCATTGCCATGATCTTTATGAAAATATTAATATTTTGAAATTTTTTCTTTATGCAAGAAACACTAGACTAATGAAAGAATGAAAATAATTCGGGCCCCTACAAAGGCGGGCGTTCACTGTGTCCATTAAAAATGCAGCCTTTGTGCCCGTGAAGTGTTCGGCTCCTCTGTTATTAAGTTTGGAATGTGGTTTCGGAGCTTAGCTGAGGAACTCAGCTAGTCATTTTTCATTTTGGTCTGAGGAGGGAGAGACTTGTTTTTCAAAAGGAAAAAAAAATGAAAAAAGGTTAGGTTCATTTTGGAAGAATAGAAGTTTTAAAATGTAGTAACTATTTTTGCCTCAAATAGTCAGTTTGAGCATGCTAGCCAAAAATAGAATTCATGACTTTCGTCTCCCTGTTTACTTCTCCAACCACATTAAAAAGGATTCAGTTAAATGTGTCATTTGGTCTTTTTAATGTCAGTGGGCTATTTAGCTGAGTCAGGATAACCAAAGTTTGATTTTCATCTTTCCAGTAATAAGCCAGATGTCTGATTTTAAATGAATTAGGTATAAAATTGTCTTTGTGAGGCAGTTCTGAGCTTTAAAGAAAAACTTCCCTGGCATTGATCAGCGGTGACTTCACGTCACACGTTCAGGATTCTACACTGAAGAACTGTTGGCTAGAGTTTAGCAGTGCTGTGTTGTTGGGTACACTTTATTAGGCATTTTCATAACTTCCTGCAAACATACATTCTACTACTCAAAATTTAGGGTAGTTACTTAGGGAAAAAATGTATTTAGAGAAAAATGTATTTTTCCCTAAATAATGTATATTCGAGCATTAGAAGTAGAGAAAATATTAATAATATACAATTTTGCCTCCCATGTGACTTTCCTCTTCCTTTTACATTATTTCTCTGGTTGCTATTGCTATTAAATAAGTGATAATTTCTGCTCATATAAATTCTGAAAGCATGGTATACCAAGTATATTTACAAAATTAAACATACTTAAACTGTACACATAAAACATAATTTATAATGTTTTCCTTTCACTACTAACTTTCAGAGAGAAGTTTTATAAATTGATTTTAAAAACATATTATACTAGCTGAACCCATGAAGAAAACTATGAAAATTTTCAAAGAGATATAAAAATGAACTCCAGCTAATGGAGAAGCAATCACTGTTCTTGCACGGGAACACCAAATGTTGGGAAAGGATGCTTATGTCCACATTAATTTATGGACTTAATGTAATTTCACTGTAAATCCCAGCCGTATGTTATAAATTTCAGATGGACTGAGGAGAGAGGATTTAGTCTACCAGATACCGATACAAACCATCAATGTTGTATTGGGCCATGAAATGACAGTCCAATACAGGAAACAGATCAGATTGTCCAGAACCGTCTATTGTTACACATAAGGTAAAGGTGATGTCATAAATCAATAAGAGAGTCTATTTAGTAGAGAGTAATTTACATATTTAAACAAGTAAAAAACTAGAACCTTGCCTCATCTCTTATATCAAAACAAATTCCAGAAGGACCATCTTTAAATACTTAAAAAATGATTTGTTAAAAGTAACTGGAAGTTACTGAAGGTACCTGTTTATTGAATTTGGGGATAAAGAAAATCTCTCTAAGGACAAAAGCATGGAAAAAAACATAAATTGAAAGAGAGACTTTATATGAAATTTTGATCTTCTCCATATGAAAATATGCTATAAACAAATTTAGACAGCAAATGGAAAAGTTTAAATAAATTGCAAATAAAAAATGTTAAAGAATGATTCTTATTTATAGGGTATGTAAGTACATTAAGTTTGGTGTATCAGGTATCGAGTTTGGAATATTTTGTAACTGTGATTTGAAAATTTAAATTATGTAGAAAATATTTATAATATAATAGTTAATACTAATTTTATACTTCTAATGTGCTCAAGCACTGTTCTGAGTACATTTCATGTTAACCTGTTTAATGTACACAATGACTCAGAAAGGTGAGTGCTATCATTATTGCCATTTAAGAGATGATAAAACTAATACACAAAAAGGTTCAGTAATTCACTCCAAACTTTCCCAGTGTGGAGTAGTGACGACACAACTAGAAATTAGAGAGCCGGGGTCTGACGTCACGTAGGCTGGCTCCAGAGCTCATGTCAGTTACCATTGTGCTACCCTGCTTCTCCACGTGAACAGGAAGAAAAAGCTACAAAACTATCTATGGTATCATACTATTTTGTAAAAATATGTGTTAAGATTAGTATATATTTTTAAGGTCATACAAGGTAATTCATGTATAAATTTTTGTCTAATTATACCATCATGGAAAAGACAGTATTTTCATATTATCCCACACTAGTTTCTTCCCTGTCGTGGGATTTTGGGTAAATGTCTCAAACTTTATAATATCTATATTTTGTAGAATTTCTATTATAATTGTAATCATTTTATAATCTCAAAAGTGTTTTTTAATGTTATGTAGTTCAAATGTGATACTTTCTTTTGAAATGTGTGGGTTATATTTTAGTATACCTTTGGAGTATCAGTCATCGTTTGAGTTCCTATCCTCTGACAGGTATCACTCTAAGTGGGGACCTGAGATTAACGTAGTTCTTTTTCTTAATCAAAAGCAGTATTGTAACATTTTAGAATTAAGAATCTTAGAAACCAGCTATCTTGGTTGAATCTTAGAAACCAATTATCTCTTTTCTCAGATGAGAACCCTGAAGTTATTAGAGATTTACCTACTTACCCAAGATTAACTGAGGGTAAGCTGTTTAACCAGGCTCCAGACTCAGGTCTTTTGATTTCAGACACTGAGATCTATGAAGCACCAGAGCCCTCCAAGTTGATAGGCAAGTGGGAACTGAAACACCGTCGATTTTTGTGACATTTCATTTTGGAGTGAGGAGATAACTGAACCAAACAGGTTACAAATATATCCTTTCAATAAATGTCAGGGATTGAAGACACAATGGGACGGCCCTTGGGGATGCTTTATGACGCCTACAGAGGTCACTGAAGGAGCCTCACACATATTTGATCCCAAGTTATACAAGGCAGTACAAAAAAAGCGAGGAGACAATAGTGGAAAGAATGTTAGCCAGAAATGAGCATTTTAGTGGATTATTTTTCTAAAATAAAACCATTTTCTTTTCAGCTCCAGGTCCTACAACAGCAGTGTCCTATATGTCGGTGAAATGCGTGGATGTTCGTAAAAACCATCACAAGGCAAAATGGTTAATGCCTTGGGGACCCAACCAGTGCGACAAAATCCGAGACATCGAGGAAGCAATCCCAAGGGAAATAGAAGCCAATGATATTGTGTTTTCTGTCCACATTCCTCTCCCCACCATGGAGATGAGTCCTTGGTTCCAATTCATGCTCTTTATCCTACAGCTGGACATTGCATTCAAGCTGAACAACCAAATCAGTAAGTGCATTCTCTTCTCTTTCCTTTCCTACCTTGGAGAATTTCTCTCTTTAGGTTCTTTCAGAGCCAGCTGTAGTGACAGTAAAATGGTAATGTTAATAGTAGACAATTACTGATGGCTTACTACTTACTAGGCACTTTTCTGAGCCCTCAACTTGTGTTAACCCATTTCACCTTCCCACCAGTATCTAGAGGTAGGTCTTTTATTTCCTTTAACAGTGAGAAAACTTGGATACCAGCAGGTTGCATAAGGTCAGACAGCTGAAGGGTGGATTCAAATATGGGCAGCCTGGCTTTAGAGCCCTGCTCTAACCATCAAGTTTCATTACCTCTCTGGAGGGTAGAAAATGTTCCTTTTTCCCTTGGCTGGTCTAGTGATTAAAATGACATAAGACATAAAAGAAAAAAAATACTAATTTCATACATATGGGAGCTTCAGAGTTATGAGACTCAAGGGCAAGTTGAGTAATTGAAGCTTAGTATGCCATCCTGAGCTAAGGAATGGGATAGAGGAGTAGAGCTTCAAAGAGGAGGAGGATAGTTCTCAGGATGATAAGAAAGCAAATACTTGTTAATTAGAAGTTTACCCTGCCAGCAGGTAAGTCTTTCAAATAAAAATTTATCTCTGGTAAAGATCTCTTTCTGTGCCAGACCCACTAACTAAATTCTTTTAGGCTGTTAAGGGAGCAGTAAATTTTTTTTTCTTGAGTATGCTGGGTCTTTATGGCCCTCAGGTCAAAATAATCCGCCTGCCACATTTGTCCCTTCAGCTCTCTGGTGCGACAAAGGAACTCACCCCAGTAGAGTGACTTGAGGATTTCTGAAAGGCCCCTCGTTTCAAAATGTCCTTTTCCACTGGGCTGTGAGGAAAGCCATTGCCTTAGAGAAAGATCCTTATCAAAGTGGGAACGTCAACCCATGCACACTCATTTTTCCCTCAAAACCAGGGCATTCTTTTAGCTTACCCAGTTGTGATTCAAGACTCTGAGGGCATGGAGCCCATACACATCGTGTGCAGAGGAGATCACTGGATGATTTCTGGCAGGGAGATCCACCTGTGGCATCTGGAGATAGTACAGGGAATTCCAGGTTGAGAAAGAAGAAAGCATTTTTTACTGATGTAAGATCAGGGGTGAGAGGGAAAAAGTATGTTGAAACAGCTCTGCCTGGGGTCTGCTCATGGATTAAAGCACTTTTTCTATTGTAATTTTCCTGTATCAGCAGTAATCTTGTGCAATCATATTAATTTATTCTTCTTAGAAATTGAAACAGTTTGTGTCCCTGATTGACAGCTTATCAAACAGATTATGCTGAGATAATTTTCTATAATGCAGACTTTCCCCTCCCCATTTATTTAATCTTCCACTCATTACTTCAAAATGTTTTTGAGTACCGACTACCACCAGGCAGTGTATTGATGGCTGGACATGCAGATACAAATGAAGACGCCATCCTTCAAGTGGAAAGGACTAGGAAATAACCAGTCATTACAGTAGAGTGTGCTAGGTGCTGTGACTAAGGTATGCCCAGGAGGCCAAAGAGCATAAAGAAAAGGCTTTAGAGCAAGGAAAGGAAAAGCTGGCTTGGTGTGTGCATAGATGTGCTTATGTATATCAATGTGTGTACTTGTGCATGTACTGGTGAGTAGATACTTGAGGTGACTGTTAGAGTGGAAACCCTGACAAAGAGTTGGTGAGCATGGGGTGCAAATAAAAGAGTATTCTAGGTAGAAGGAAGAAAGAACAGTTAATACGAAGGTCCAGATTTGTACAACAGCCCAAAGCATTCAAGTGGCATTTCTCTTGTTTCATTCTCTTGCATATTGACTCATTCATTGGTTTTGTAACTCATTCATTCATTCAGACTTTGAACCCCAACCCAGTGTTAAGCAACAGGTACTGAGGATACCAGACTGAACAAAAAATGTTCTTCTAAGGAGTTAGGGAAGATGGTGGTTGGGAAACAGACACTTAAAACTACCAAAGAGAAAGATAACTGTTATAATGAAAGGAATATGCAATGGTATGACATTGTGATTTTTAAGAAATAAGATATTTGATTATAAAGATGTCCAGAAAAGATTTCTCATGTATATTGGGTCTTGCTCCACAGTTCCTGGCTCATGGCTCCCTCAAACCCTTGGAATTTTCTGAGTGATAAAAGCATTGGGAGCATCTTTTGTTATATTTGGGCTCTTGTTCTTGCATTTTGAAAATGCTTCAGAGTCATAAATGTGAAATATGTGTCTTGTTCCACCACCAGTAGGCTTCTGTTAACAAGGTAACTTTTGGAAAACACCTAAGGGTAAGGACAGGTTGTGAAGGAAACCAACCATAAATACAGGGATGAAATTTTCAGCATTCTTGCCCCCCAGTTTCCGGAGAGGAGAGAGGGCTTGGAAGTGGAACCAGTCTCCAATGGTGAGCGATTTAATCAGTCATGGCTACGTAATGGAGCTGCTATAAAAAACCCAGAAGTGAGGGGTTTGGAGAGCTTCTAGGATAGGGAACTAGAATACTTCCATGTGTAGGGCCCCAAGCTCTAGGAGGGATAGAAGCCCCTTTGTTTGGGATCTTGCCCTGTATATCTCCATCTGGCTATTGATTCATATCTTTTGTAATAAGTCTGTAATCTAGTGCGTTCTGCGAGCTGTTCTAGCCAATTATTGAACACAACGAGGAGGTTGTGGGAACCTCTGATTTATAGCCAGTCGGTCAGAAGCATGGGTGACAACCTAGGCTTATGATTGGCATCTGAAGTGGAGGGTGGTTCTTGTGGGACTGAGCCATTAATCTGCGGAATCTCATACTATCTCCAGGTAGTGTCAGAATTGAGTTGAGTGGTAGGACACCTTGCTGGTACTTGAAAATAGGTGGATATGTGTGGATGTCCTCCCCCTGCCATACACACATCCTAATTGGTGGTCAGAGCCTATTACTTACATACCTTAATAACTTTATAGATGAATTATTTCCCAGCAAATATTAATCCTAAACATCAAAATGTCTATGTTGGTGATGCTTTGATAACATATTTCTATTCAGTATATATAAGTGAAGTGAAAATGTGTATTCAAGCTTCAAAACATATTTTGTCTTCATCTAGAAAAAGATTTCGCTAAATATTCTTATCTTAAAAAAGTCCTTAAATTTTTTGTAACATGAAGCCCTGCACTTATAAGGGCACACTAAAAATTTAACAAAATAGATAACTAATGGTTCTGTCAGTAAATGTGTAAAATAACTGAAATCATAGAGCTTGGAAAAAATCAGATTTAAAAAATACATTTTATTAGCAGAGGCAGTGGATTGAGGCCATTAACTTTAATATGAGAAAGTTACATATTGGGTTGGTGAGAATATTTTTTTTCTTTAAATTTATTCTCTACACTTTTATTTATGGACAATGAAGAAGGCATTGAGTAAGGAGTGATGGTATGTCTTTGCCCATTGATACAGATATATACCTACATGTATTTTAATGATAATAATATGTGTAAGACATGGTAGGTTTTCCTGTAACCCTTATATTAGGAATGCATGAGATGCCTGTCCACTTTTTATATTTTATCATTGTTTGGATGCCTTTTGGAGAGCAATAAATGGGACAGGAGAAAAGAGACTGGGAGTGTGGTGCAAAAGATCCTATTATATGTAGGTGATTGTCTGTTTATCAAAAATTCAGTCATAACAATATTACCTTCAATGGAAAGAGAAGTCAGGACCAATCCTATTTTCTCTTTAAGCTTTTCTAGGTAGTCTATGAAATAAATTTCAGATTGCAAATAATGAAAAGACTTCCCATTTGGACTATGAAATTAATATTTGTATTTCCAATATATACGGTCAGAGTTTTCACCCGGGTCTTTGAGCAGATAAAATAATCTAAGGACTCCTTTTTTCCCAAGAGAACACCAGTTCTTTTTTTTTTTTTTTTCCTCAGATGGGTTGGAGTGGTCAGACTGGGTTTTTCAGGGTATATTAAGAAGTGTGCACAGGACATAAGACTCTCCTTTACTAGAAAAGTCCCCCATCAAGTGTGAGTATATCTCAGCTTAGAGCTCAGAGGAGCAAAAAGTGGAAATTTCCCTTGGCTGTGGGGCTGAAACAGGAAACCACCCAGAAACCTTTGGCAGGAGAAAGCGGGGAGTTTCCGGTTCCCCAGGACCAAGTGGACATTTTCACCAGAAGCACCTCTAGGTGCAGCCACATCTGTCCTCCCTCCTCCTCATTGAGGTGGAGTCTCCATGAGCTCACAGGTTGTTGTCTGTTCCATTTGCTAATGAATCCCAAGCACCAGTGCCTGGCACAGATCTGTCCCCTGCATGTACCTATTGAATGAGTGAATAAATCCAGCCACATCCTTGCACAGCTGATGGGGACAGCTGGGTAAGTGGGTCATGACTCTCCCTCTCTGTGTGGCATTTGTGTTGCCAAATCATGGTGGTGCCCTGCACTCTAGATGACCAGGGAAAACCCCCACCGAAACCTCACTGGGTATGGAACCGCTTCAGACATCAAGCAAGTGAAGTGCCCAACACCTGGGCTACTTGGGTGTGAATGATCTCTGCCCTCTTCCAGGATTGCAGTGTTGTTGCAGGTATCAGGAGGGTCCTAGTGGGTGTCTTGGCTGCCTCGATTAGGGGATCCCTTTCTTCTGAGTGTGGTCCAAGCTGGGAGAATGAGTCCAAGTTAGCGGGAGCAGAGGGCTGGGAGCATCCTCACTGGAACCTCCATCTTTGGGCTCACAGTGAGTGGGGAAGGTCGCCTCCTCACGGAGGAGCTTGACAGAGGCTGGTCCTTGTCGAACTCATCAAAGAGGTCACAACTCAGCAGTTTTGAAAGAACACATCAAAAATATTCTGCTGGTGTTCTTATCCCACAGGGCAAATCGAACTTATCACTACCGTACAAGGAAGCAAGCTTTTTAAAATCAGCGGCACAAAGAAAAGGTGAAACTGATGAAACCTCAGGAGAGAGGCAAAAGCTGGCTTTGATGAC